GTTAGAAAAACCTAAACATCTCACAAAACACGTAAAATATTGTGGTATATCTTTTTTTTTTATTTTTATTCTGGTATTATAATTGAAGAAAATTTATGATTATTATTATTAGTTAACATCTTTATAAAAAAATCTCTTACTGGCATTATACTTAACATAACTATTAAGTAAATCGCCTTCAAAATGAGCAACCTTTGACCATTTAGTACAATAATTAATTTTCTTTATTAGCAAACTTAATCACAGTACAAAATTACTATTAATCGTTTCCTTTTTTTATGTGCTTTAACAATGAGGTATGGTGATAATAATACTTTACACATATTGTCTATTACTTTATTGTACAATAAAAATTCATGGTAAAGTTCAAGTTTACAATAATTAGAGATGCCATCAACGAAATCAGTGTTCTCACAACAATAATAATGTATGTCTGACATGAGAAATTATGATAGGTAATTTATAACAGAATATTAATTATTTTAATTTTTTTTTTCATGTAATACATAAACTTATAATGTTATATATATATATATATATATATATATATATATATATATATATATATATATATATATTATTTATTTATATATATTTTTATTTTATATAGATTATATATATATATATATATATATTATATATATATATATATATATATATATATATATATCCATGTAGAAGGTAACCGCATGGCGTCATCTCTTTTATTAAGACAATTTTGCCTTTTTTCTATTTCTATGGCTTCTCGGATAATTTTTGGTTTATAGAAGCGGATGGGGGCTATGGTTCTGGAGTTTTCAAAATCGATTTTATGACCTGTATGAAGATGGTGTTGACCGAGAGCTGAAATTTAATCAGAATTGCGAACGGAAATGGAATGTTCATAAATCCTATTTTGGATTATACGATTTGTTTGGCCTATATAGGATTGGGGACAGTCTGCACAAGGTATTTCATAAACTCCGTGTTGTTCATTTGGAATATTGTCTTTGGTAGATCGGACAAGAGATGAAAGTTTTTGTTGGGGAGTAAATATTGTTTTTATTCCTCTTGGTTTCAGAATTCTGTCGATTTTGTCAGTGACACCTTTGATATAAGGAAGAAAAGCTTTCGTATGATAAGGGTCTGAGTCTTTGGGTTGAGAATGAGTGGGAGATTGATGTCTGTGAATGCTCCTATTGATGTGATTTTCGCGGTAACCGTTTTGGATTAGGGCTTGTTTTAAACAAGAGAGCTCACGGGTCTAGTTGCATCATCAGAAAGGCGTATTGATCTGGAGACAAGGGTATTAATGACTGAATTAATTTGTGAAGGTGAATAGTGAGAGTTGGCGTGCAAGTAACGATTGGTATGTGTGGGTTTTCGATACACAGAGTAATGGAAACCTTGGGTTTGGTTTTTCTTGATGAAAACATCGAGAAACGGTAGGGATGAATCAGTTTCCATCTCCATCGTAAACTGGATACTAGGATGTATACCATTCAGATGAGTTTGAAAAGATACTAAAGCATCCCTGCCATGGGGCCAAATAACGAATGTATCGTCAACATATCGTAGCCAACATGTGGGCTTGAGCATTGATGCGGATAGGGCTCGGGTCTCGAAGTCTTCCATAAAGATATTGGCAATTAGGTGTTGGACATACAATGTTTAATGAGAGATAAGTGATCTTGTTGAATACTGTATTTAGTTTTCAGAATGTTTAAAGTTTCATCTATTGGAATGTTTGTAAAGAGTGAGATAATATCGAAACTTACTAGAATGTCTGACGGTGATATAGAGTATTGTTTAAGAAGTTCGATGAAATAAAAAGAGTTTTTGACGAAGGATGAAGCATTTTTGGCGAAAGGTAGTAGAGTTTTGGCCAAATACTTGGCCAAGGGTTGTGTAGGGCGGTTGTATGCACTGAAAATGGGACGAAGAGGAATATCGGGTTTATGAATTTTGAGTAGGCCATATATTCGAGGTGGACCAACTTAGAGTGAGTAGTGTATATAGTTTTGATGTTTAGAGGGTTAAGAGTTCTACTGACTTACTTTTTTGAAGTTTTAATTTACCTGACCGCGGAAATTTATCACATTTCAACCCAGAACACCTGGGGGACGAGTGGAATTTTTCATTCTTACCAAATCTTTTCTTACACGCAAATGCCGTCTTCTCTGTAACCTTGCTTTCCATAAATCGTGTCGTGATCATCAAGTTATTCCAAAATTTCTTTAAATTACACTAAATCTTCATTCATTTCCAAAATTCTTAGATCAACTGGTTTTTCTCTTCTTCGAAAATTAATTCATTCCACCCGACGCAACTTAGACAAAACAAATTTTCACCTTTTTAAAACCTACAATGACATCCACCCTCACCATATACGTCCATTATTATGGGCGACTTTCGATCGTCCTTCTCACCAAAAAGCCCAACACATTTCTGACGACAAAATCCAAACCCAGAAACGTAAACTGGAGCCACTTATCTGTCTGCAAAACCTATAGACCATTTCGGGTCAACAATATTTTACTGTTGTACCCAATTTCTCAGATATTCACATATCTGATTCAGCTACCAAAGCTCTGTCAAAAGGCTTTAATTTTTCTTTCACTTCTCTTTTCATGCCAACTAAGAAAATTGTTTGTCCAACTGAAAAAAACTATTTGTTATCTTCTTGCCAACCAAGCCAAAGTTACCAGACACAAAGTCGTCAGAATTATTCATACTTCCAAAATAGATCGTCAAATATTAGCCTTTCAGAAATATGTGTCCCCAAACAACTTTATAATAACCCTGACATCATCCATCTGACCGACAAAGGTAAAGCCTCCGTAATTCTAAACTCTTCTTATTATTACTTCTAAAATGTTTGAACTTCTTAATTTCACAGAATATAAATGCGTCCCAAATGATACCTCATATCTACAACAAACTACCAAACCCATCATAAGTCCATTCTACCTATAGACATCAAAAATCTTTGGGAAAATATCTCGCCTTATCCCTACAACCCTACAATCCCTACAATCCCTACAACTTAAAAATCAGAAGATGGCAAGATGTTGCCAAAAACCGAACAGAATGGCGACGAATCTTAGAGCAGGCCAAGATCCACAGAAGATTGTCAAGCCAAAGATGATGATGATCCCTACAACCATTAGCCGAAAACACCTTGATCTTTGACGAAAATTCTTTTTATTTTATTAACCTTCTGAAAAACATTTCTATTTAACCCTCAAATATACTAGTTAGTTTTGACATTGTTTCTTTATTCACCAACATTCCTATTGATAAACCCATATCCATCTTGGACTTTAAACATCAAATCTACAGACATAATAGTTCTTGTAAAACACTGCATGTCTAATACATACTTTTCATTTCAAAATCATTTCAATGGGATCCCATCTCTCTCCCGGAATAGCTGATATCTACGTAGAACATCTTGAAACAACAGCCATGTCATCATGAAATCTCAAGTTCACCTGCTGGTTACGGTACGTTGACGACACTTTTGGTATTTGGCCCCATGGTGAAGACCAATTAAACCTCATTATCTCTTACCTGAATGGAATATATCCCAGTATTCAATTCACGATGACAGTTAAAGCGTCTTTGTTATTCTTTGATGTTCTTATTCAGAAACACCCACCTTATAGTTTCTCGTATTTCGTGTACCGGAAACCTACCGATACAAACTCAATTCAACGTCCAACTCAATTCAATTATCAACACTCTTTTTTCCCGTTCCATAAGACAGCGACGACAATCACAGATCGTCCAAAATCAATTCAATAAGACAAACACTTTTACAAAATCTATTTTTACTGCTCACTAGAAGTTGTCGAATCTCGTCAGATCCGTAAAAAACCAAATCCCCAATGAAGACAATGGTGTCTACGAGACACCTCGTTCCAGTTACCCAACCACATACATAGAACAGACAAACCGACGAATCCCCAAACGTATTTACGAACATTATATATCTATAAAACAATTTAATATCACTTTAGCCCTAGTCCAACATCATATTCAGACAGGTCACTAAATAGATTTTGAAAAAGCAAAAACAATCGCTTCTTAAAATCGAAAATTATTTGTGAAGCCATCGAATTGAAAAACAACTTAAATACGCGCGATGGCGCTAAAAGACTGTCAGCAACATGGCGACCGCTGCTTCAGGGACCCCCGCGCTAACCAATCCCGCTCAGTTCGTTTCCGCTCATACCTTTTCCGCGAATACTGAGGGCATAAAAACAGCTACACAGGGTAAGTCCTGTCATCACTTGACACTGAGGAGTAGGCAGATTGAGACCTCAGTGTGGTTTGACGATTCTGGTAATTCTGGAAAACAAGATAGTGCTACATTAGGAGTGAGGGAAGTAAGCAGATTGAGACTCCGAATTCGAACGGAACCATAACTCTTTTCGATAATGGCTACATTATGGAGACCAAAACGTCGAGTTTTAAATTCTCAACGCGGTTTTTTCCAAGAACTTGGTAATTTTCATTATATGTTCCAAAAGATTTCCGCGATTAATACAATTAAACCTAGAGCTAAGATTAATACTATTACAAGAATTAATATTAAACTCAACAGTCTTTTTGGTTGAACGACTTCGATGATCATTGCGCCGAGCTTTCGACATCCTCTTTAATGTCATCTTCAGGGCTTACGAGGGCAGTCTCCCGAGCCTCCAGACATTACTACATTGATCACTAACTAATGCATTACTGCTACTAGGAACAGAGTATGGTTCACTTGTACCTAATTCTTGTAATAGTATTAATATTATATACAGGGTGTCCCCAACAAGTTGACAGTATTTTGCATGCAAAGTTTTATGGATATGCAATATGCAAAAGAGAACAGAAATTATTGTTACGACTTATTTTTTCTTATATTACATAATATATTATACATTTTTAAACTTTCTCTATATATAGGTATATATATATATATATATATATATATATATATATATATATATATTAGTAAATAATATACTTACGTAGTTGGCTCGTCTAGAAATAAAACAGGAGGATTGTTTAATAGTTCCAAAGCTATAGATAACCTTTTTCGTTCTCCTCCGGATAACCTACTTGTACTAGTTCTTTTTGCTTTGTCTAATCGTAGTAAACTTAAAATTTCATCTATCTGGAATAAAACAAATAGTTTAGTTTAATTAATAAATTAATTTAGTTTTTATGTACGCAAAGATTTTTTACTGAATATGTATATACATTTTACAGTTTTTTAAAAACTCCCAGTAGTATCTGTAGTCTATGTATTTAATAATTTACACGTTACATGTTATAGATAGATAGATGAATATATTATCATACCATAAAAAACTATTTTGCGTGAAACAAAATTAAAATTCCTACCGCTGATTATGAAAAAACTTTAAAGGTCCTCATTGCAGATGTGATCAATCTAAAGCCGACTCCAACTATTTAACGGCAGTCGACATTATCTCTTTCAAATATAAATGCATCTAATAATATTCAGTTACTCTTTGATCAAACTAATTTGATCATTTCATCCAGCTTCCACTACTGACGCCGAAATCTTAAATGAATTCTCAAAGAACTTGGCTACATTATAGAAATTAATTTACATACGTGTTGTTTTGTTTCTACTTGTATTTAGTGTACGGCGTGTCTCCTTTTGGAGCAGCCTATTACTATGTAATGGGCTGATGTAGATGGAGGGATGAATGGACCACCCTCTGGGAGTGGAATATGAATGTCTGAAGTAGCTTGTACCTGTTGTCTAATCTTTCTCGTTAAGTTGAAGATGGTTGAAATAACGGCGCGGTCGCTTCTTCCTGTCTATCGCTTTGCACAAGGATTGTTACCTTACAAACCGTTACAAACCTTTACAAACCAAGTCCAATGTAGACGTGGGTGGGGTGATGCGACTAGGATGCAATGGCAATCACGGAGCGCAGAAGGAGAGCGACAGATGGGAGTTATAAGTAAGGCTGACGGATCAGATGCTAATGCTCGCTAAGAGCTATCCCAGGCCCGTCGGTTGAAGAAAGAGGAGGCGAATTTAGTTGGTAGGCGGTAAAAAATGTCTTTTAAATGACAATTATATTGACGGTATGCTGCTACTGGCATTAGTAACAATTGGTCATTCTGTGATTTATCCAAATAACAAGAAAACGATTAATAGACCTATTGAATGTATCAAAACCCGATAGTAATAGAGCCGATGGATATGGTGGGGTAGAAATACTTATTAAAGATCACGTTATTCTAAAATAAAATTTAGACAGAACTACTATTTAGAACAAACGTTAATAAAAAGTAAAAAGTTGTAAAATATTTATAGAAGACCTGAAAATATTAATCATATGTATATATAAACTACCAAATGTACAAGCAACTAAAAACGGTTGGACTAACAGAGTTACACAAATACACACAACCAATCATGTTATCACCATATATTTCAAACCAATATTTACTTCTTTTGAAAAAACTGGTTATTATTGAAAAGAATAAAAGTTTTTATTGAAAATTAAAAAACCGATAAAACAATAAGATAACACAGCCCGGTACGTTATAGATTAGTTGCTTTAGTTATACATTAAACAAAAATAAATAGACTTGCTTTTGCGTTCAAAAACGATGCCTTATGTGGGGTTAATGCAGGTGCAAATGGAGAAGATTATTGGTCTTATGGAACAAGGAATGTCTTAGATGGAAATAGCGGTATGGTTGTAAACGCTTGTGATAAAATTAAAACAAATTTAAGAGGTGGAGGCCATAAAACGAAAGAAGAAGAAGAAGAATTAAAACAAATTGATATCTAAGCACTAAGGCCTACGCACACAAAAAATAACTGAGCAAAAACAGAATAAAAATGTAAAATAAAAACAAGAATTACAACGTTACAGAGGTAAAGGTAACCTTTAACTAAAGAATATAGACGTTTTAAGCGTCTATAACCTTAAATATTTGCTTTAACCATTAAATATTTTCATATAAACTTCTTCTTTTTCTCAATGACCTCTTGCGTAAGTAGTCATCCAGTCGCAAGAACTTATATCTTAAATATTATAATTATAATGAATAAAATAACAAGGCGTAATTACTTTTACTATTAATTCTGTGTATTCGTTCATTAATCAGTTTACCATAATATTTCAGTTCATTATTTTGTATTTTTAAATAAATATCTATTTTTCTCGTTTTGTCATATTTCATTTACACTGATTTTACAAGAAAAGTACAAGTTTCACCTGACGAAAGCGCATAACCGCGAAACATCACAAAAAAATATAGGTATGTATATATTTTTTGTTACTTGTTTTGCCGATACCTACTAACTTTATTTTGCTATTAATCTTTATAACTTTATTTGCTTAACTCGCAAATTATTTTGCGATATATATATATATATATATATATATATATATATATATATATATATATATATATATATATATAGCAATTAAACGTCATTGACTTAATTTAAAGGTATCTTCTGTCATAAATTTACTGCTTATTTGCTACAAAATTAAACGTGTTTATATTGCTTTTAAAATGACCAATAAATATTTATGATCGAAAAAAATTTAGCAGTTTGATAATAACCAGAAATGACACAAAATAGAAATTGGTGAATAATTTATATATTATACTACACGTGCATAGGTCTGCTCTCCATACTTATTAATAAATCTTATTTTAAAACTAAAAATTTGGCTGAATAGGTCTTGAACCTAAGAAACCTTAAAAGCATTCAGATAATTACTGAAAAGGAAGAACGTAATGTTCTATTATGAAGCGTAATAACTGGAACAACGAACTGAACATTAGCCAGGGAACTAAGTTATTCCCTGAGGTTTTTAGTTAATATAAACATATGTAAGCAAATCTAAGCTCATCACAAAAGCCCTAATTAACAAAATCAATAAAACTAACAACTTGGATGGAATTTAATCAGATGAACAACAAGGATTCAGATCCGGAGATCCTGCGTCAGGCCGTTGAGTACAATAAACCAGCATATCTATGTTTTATAGACCTTGCGAAGGCTTTCATCCAAGTTGAAGGCGTCTTACATCTACTATATAGAAGAAATATACCAATCAGTATTATACAAACCATCGAAAACATCTACTTATAGAATCGAATACAGGCAAAGATAAATCGAAAATTAACACAGTGTATATCAGCACAAAGCGGAGTTAGACAGTGTGACTCATTAAGCCCACTTTTCTTAAATATAATAATAGATGAAGATGAAGACAAGAAGTACGTAAAAGTCAAGGTTATAGAATGGGGAACAACGAAATCCACTAGTTACGGAGATGCTGAAGAAGAAGTACGACAACAAAGCCTAAACGCAAGTAAGGCAGCGGGATCTCTTAATGACTCAATCTGGAAGAACAACACCCAAGACAAGACCTATATTAACATACACGGAGGAGACAAGACCTGACACATCTAAAACGAGACAACTACTAGAAACAACTGAGATGAAAATACTCTGAAGAATATCAGGGAAAATTCTATTGGATGGGGAGAGAAGCGAAAACATAAAAAAGCATGCAATAGAGAAGACATAAATGGATGGGTGACAAAACGGAAACAGGAGTAGAACGACCACATTAGTAGAATGGCAGAGAATAGGATAGTACGAAAAGCATGAGATAAGTCGACAAATGGACGAAGTATTGGCAGGCATCGAAGCAGAAACAGGCTTTAAAGCCTACATACAAGAGGGAAGAAGAAGTAAGCAAATCTATACGTTTTCTGTAGAAATTTCGGCATGGCTTTTAAGGCGAAACTACTATACTGGCATTTTATTACTTTTTCTTCTATAGCAAAATGCTGAGCCGTGCGTCACGGTACTAGCGCCACACAAAGGCGTCACGAAATAGCGGATCTTCACATCCATTCATTATTCTCGATCAATTCATTTCTAGTCATCATATATTTATACTAAGCAGGTTTAAACTAACAACTACATAAAAATAATTACCAAAAAACAGACATTAAATGAGAAGTAAAAAATTAAAAGAACATCTGTCAATGAAACTTTCGATTCGCAACGATTGTCAAAATTTAAAAAGTCATAAATTTTTATGACATTTAAAATAATTTTATATAAATACAATTATTATTTTTAAACATCGTATTTAGTTTATATTCCAATTAAATTTACTATCAAATGATATTTATTTATATTTTATAATTACTTTAATATCTCGTCTGCATTTGACATCTCTGTCAGAAGTAAACAACGTATGCTTTGTTAATACGTTAGTAGGTATATTTTATTTATTTATTTTTAACGGGCTGCCGTCCAATAATATTAAATAAATAAACACAATAATTGATAGAATTATTTTAATACAACACAATTTGTTTAAAATGTAAATAATAAATAAATAATAAAATTTCTTTATCTTTTTAATTTAATAAACGCTTTAATAAACGCAGAAAACATCATATGAAGCTTCGAGCTCGTGTACTGTACTGCTTATTTTACCATCTTTTTTATACAGTAACACCACACATGTATGTTCTTTAAAATTTAAAAATCTTTTCTTTCAAAATTTTATTTAATGATTTTAATGATTTCAAAATATATTAAATACAATATAGAATTTGGTTATCATTTATATTTTCATTATTATTTTGTATTTATGTTTAGTAACTTCATTTCGATTATCATTAGAATAAAAAGTAAAAAGATTAAATAGACGTGAAGATAGGCACAATTTTAGTGATATCAATCCAAAAGAATATAATATAACTGTTTGTATGCGAAAAAAAAATTTATTGTTTTTACTATTAACTTTACAATTTAATCTCACCTTTCTTGGACCTTCCTTGGACTTAAATATTTCAAAAGCAAAATTAGTAAAATTGATCCAGTCGTTCTAGAGTCTTTATGAAAAAATTATAAAAAAATTAAATGACATTTGTTTGACGTCATTTTATTTTTATACAAAGTGTATATGTATGTAAATTTTTGTATAATGGCTCGATATTTTATCTCACGGCTAAGTATTCATTTGAAGAAACATTTAAACCTTTGCTGTATTATTTGACTTGATGTAGATTTATTTTTTTGTTAAATGACATATCGATAATTATCTATTTTTAATTTTCAGTTACAAGGGAAGGTTATGA